AATTTTTTAAAAAATATAACCAATTCAAGTCAAATTAAAAAAGAAAAAAATATTATATGTCACTTTAATAACTAGTTTTACCTAAGAAAAGAAAAAAAGAGATGCCGTTGTTTAAAGGCGCTATGCTAGGGTTACATAATCATATAAAGCAGAATGGAATACTGCATTATAAAATTTATGTAAAGTTCGCACGTTCTTAGTATAATATTGATAACAGAAGCATTTTAAGGTCACCGACCTCGTTTTCGAGTTATCTGCCCTTGCTTTTGAAGAATGTTCGATAATAATTATAAACAATCAAGGATATCAATTGCTAATGTTATCAGTATATCATGTAGCTGACTTATTTTTGAGTATTTCTGTAAAATTGACAGAACATGTAACAAGTATTTTGTGTATTTTGCTTCGTTATTGAAAGATATGCCATTTTAAATGACCTATTCTTAAAGATTTTTCAGTCTCAGTCTCCGTACAAAAATGATTAAAAGGAACAGAAATGTAAAAGAATTCCGTCAAATTTTTTATTTTAGACTTAACAAATGATAAAATGGAGAAAGAATAAACATATTAAACCAGTAGTAAAAAAGTTTGTAAAACTTATGTATAAGTTATCTGCCATTAAAAAAGACCTAAATTTAATGTCAACAACAACAACAACAACAACAAAAATCAAATTCAAGGACAGATAATTCGAAAATGAGGTCTATGATCACCAATATGTTTCGCGTAAAATGGTTTTGTTATCATACTCAAAGATCGTGCAACGTTAAAATAAATTCTGCTATGTAGTTTTCAGTCTGCTATGCATCTATATGCAACCCTAGCGTACACCTGAAAAACACCTGACATTTTGCATATTAGCGTTCATTAACTTGAATGTGTTTGTATAGCATAGTTAGTTATGTTAGTTATGCGACGCTTAGATTATTATCACATTTTATCATATTTGATTGGGTAACTTAGATATTACCCCATAAACGTGTTATCTTGTCCGTATTACTGCACTATTTTTACTTCTTAAAAAGAAAAATGGCGGATATCAGTATTATAATATTAAAAGTTTTTCTTCTAAACTTGTGCATTTTTCTTCATTCTGCAATAGGTAAGTGCTGATCAACATATCTACATATTGTTTTTTAAATCTTATTTTTTAAGGTTGCATATTATTAACACACCTACGTTGTTATGAATGTTTTTTTCTTCTTTATTTTTGGCTTGCAGCCACGGCTGCAAGCCATCTGTTTTGTTTTGGAAAAGTTGTTCCGGTAAGGTGGTTTCCTGCTTACATTTGTTCGTGCATGATTGAACGGGAAACCAGCGGCAATCGTGCCAATCGCAACTTTTCGGCCCTTTCCGTCACTCTTTGGATTAATGATAATAGCCGATGTAGTTCCGATTGCAATCGTGACAATTCGGGCGATTCCGTCATACTGCGGAATCAGATGAAGTAATATCACGGAAATCTAAGCTATTTTAGTAACTTCGGTAATCCCAGTTTGTTTATATAAATAGGATTTCTATTTTTACTTGATTTATCGGTTTAAACCGTAATAAATTATAAACGAAATTGTTCCGTTTTAATTCTTTTTAAGACGCAAAAGTTAGTTTCTTTTATAATTGTTTTTGTCTGTATTAGTTTTATATAATAGAGAATGGTTACTGTATTAGTATTCCGTCTCCAAAGGGTGGTCCTGCTTACCAAATCACACAGAATATTAGTGCATGATCGAGTTATAATTAGATCTACTGAACGCAATTCAACGTCTTGGTGAGGTTATCTAAAAATACTCCATGCATATCATTAACCTTACCACGTGCTGATATACAGATAGCGCATCGTATCTGTGATCGTGTAACATAGTTGATACATGCTTATTAATTGATACCACGTAACGAAGTATTTTAGTGCATTTACTTGTCTATAAAGCTGCTATATAAATGAAATTAGCAACTGCCAAAACGAATGTTTTCTCTGCGAAAAAAGTGGAAATGAAATGTGCACACTTTTTTCCCTTCAGTATGATAGATAGATCTCCACGTTAGTATTTTTACGATTGATTATTTTCTTTATTAGTTTTATACAATATAGAATAGATTTCAAATCGTTTTGACAAAAAATATTCGTTTTTTTTTTCACAAAAAAAAACAACTAAATAAACCCTTTATGATATACAAATACCGTAATTCAAAAACATTGTTATAATAAATTGAAACAAAAAAATTTTTTTAAAGGGTTGGGATAAAGGCACAACTGAGCAAGCCTTTCCTTTTAAAAGGAAACTTTAATTTTTTTTTGGTTCATTCTGTTTGCATAGTTAAATCGCATTTTTTACATAAATTTTCGTTTTTTTTTTATTAAATCAATATGTAGGTTTAACGATCTTAAACATTTGTATCAATTTTACTCACAAAATTTATGAAATAAGTATTGAGATAGCAAATCAAATTACTCTAAAAGTAAAATTTGAATTTTATTTATAGATTTGCCCTCTAATATCACCAAGTACCGCGCGTCAAATCAATTCTTATATTTACCGCGTAAAATAATTAACAATGAACTACGGTGTTCCGTTGGGGCCATTGCCTATAGATAAAGTATGCATTTAATTAAGAAGTCTTCAGTACCTGCAGAATTTATATTCATTGCATAAGGCTAGAAGTATATGCTCAACAGTTTACTAACGATTGATCTAAAATATCTCAATACACTAAATTATCATACGTGCTTGGCTTTTTCCTATGAATTATCATGCTTTCTTTGCTTTCTTCTCAAAATAATCATACTTTCTAAAACATCATAATTGTGTCCTCTAGAATATCATATTTTCTTTGTTTTCAGAAAATCTCATGATTCCGTGGTTTTATGTTTATGATTATCATTCTTGCATTGAAAAATGCTTTAGTTAAACATTCTTTTTTTTTTTTCATTCATCTCATAAATTATTAAAACTTCAGATCGATATCTTCTCAATTATCAAACTTTTATCCTAATGATTATCATACTTGCATTAATTAATGCTTTAGTTAATCATACTTTCTTTATTGATTACACAAATCATTAAAATTGCATATCATTATCTTCTTCTTTTAATTATCTTACATTTATTCATTTATCCTTTGGTCAATCATACTTTCTTTGGTTCTTTTTTCACCTAAAATATTGTAACATCATGCTTAAATCTTCTTAATTATCATACTTGCATGGCTTTATCGTATGGATTATCATACTTGCATTGATTTATCCTTTAGTTAATCATACTTTTTGTGTTTATCTTTCAAATTATCATGATAATTCCATGGTCGTACCCTATAAATTTCAATATTTGCATGTCTTTTTCATATTGATTAGTATTCTTGCGCTGCTTAAAAATATTAATTATGAAACTTGCATAACTTGTATCCTCTCTCTGAATTATCATTTTTGACTGTCACATAAATAATTATAAATGAATGGCTGAATCCTATCAATTGATTTATCAATAAATAACGTGTGCAAGGCTTAATCCTATGATTTATCATACTTGCATGGCAGAGCCACGTTACCACTGTAAACAGTTACCCTCGAGCTAGATATTCCGGTCTGTACCGGCAGCCGGTGTAGGATCCTTATATTGCCATGGTATTAACCTATGGATTATCTTGCTTTAATGACATAGTCCTTTATGGATTATACGTGCACATCGGCTCGGGTTATATAAACATGCAAGCAACCGTTTATATAGAACCATATAATCTGTCAAAAAATCTTTAAAGCTAATAATATATTATTATTTAGTAGGGTTATGATACTTTTTGAAAGGGGCCATATCAAATATTCGGTGCGAAACGTTTGAATCACAGGTAAACGTTGCGTGGCCATGACTTACACTATACCCCCGTTTCCCCTCTACAACCCAAAACCTTAAAAAAAAAATTATGAAAAAAAAGATTTTTTTATGACTTAAATATTATAAAGGTATTTTACTCTACTTTCATTTTGCATAGAAATATCACTAGCATCTCAATTATCAGCGCATATATTCATCAATTTTTCACCAATCTTAACAATCTTGGTCTCAAATCTTAGATAAATAAATACTCTTTAAGAAAACAACAATGGCACCTTCGCTGATTATACGTAGCAAGAAATATCCAAGCCCAAACTGTCAACAAATGAAACTCGGAAGAGATCTGATTGCACCGTTTCGGTAAAACTCTCACGAGTAAAACACACTAAATTCACCGTGAAAGAATATTTCTTTGTATTGCGTATTTAAATATGATAAAATTAAAGGAATAAGAATGGATGGATTGATGTCTGTCTAATATAAATATTCATCATTTAAAAAGAGGAACCATGACAGTTTCCCTATTGACATCAACCCTATAAGAGAGAAATTCGTGTTTAAAGACACTATTTTTTACTTGAGAAATAAGTTCATGGGCGCCGCCATTTTGGCGTTCTGTCATTCTCGCGAGACAGACGAGACCGAGATTGTGACGTGTTATACCCACTTCCGGTATAGTTGTACACGCTGGTACAACTGAAATATATCTTGATGAAGAACTTATTAATTTAATTGCGTACATTATATATTATTTATGAAAACATCATATGGAACTGAATTGCTTTAATTAATTAATTGAAGACGCCGCGACATTAATTATCATTTGCCCGATATTCAAGCTTGCTGATGATCCCACCACATGATTTAAGCAATGATTATTGGGAACTGAAAAAAAATGTGTTGCTATTTTATGACGTGCTGTAATTTACTACAGTACAATTTGACAGGTGTGGAACCAAATTCCCCCTAAGGTCATTCAGTTCACTGATGAAGCGTAAAAAAATAGATGTCTATTTCGTCATTAGAATATTTGACAAGGGTGATTAACCAATTAGGGCAACATTGTGCATGATCAAAAGGTCTGTCGGCACAGAGGCATACAAGGAGCAATAAAAATCGTCAGTACACAGTGTGACAGGAGCATTTGGTGCAAATTAGGAACAATTAAAATGGACAATGCGCAGTATTAGACATAAGTAGTAAGAACCAGCAATTGTGTGAATAAATTATGCAAATTAGATTTTTGAGCAGCCAATAAAAATGATTTGCCTGCAGTTAATATTAGGCTACGATTACGATGCGCAGCATCATACGTTGACAGACATGTTAACAATTTACTTTTCAAAACAGTTGCTTATATTTTTGAAATGTGTACATCAATTATAACATATGTTCACACCTTTAAATTTGAAAGTCAGAATCAAACTGCAAAAAATTAATTATATGTACTATTAAGAACACGTTTTATTAGGTTTTTTATAATGGAAGTGGCTAGCGTGCGGGCCCGTACGGCTAGCCAAAGTTTTAGCCGTACGTGAGTCACGTACGACTAGCAAGGACACGCTGTATTGGCTAGCCGTACGGCACTTTTCAAAATTTTTATGGAAGTCGAAAATGCATATTTATTTTATGACTTTAAGCGAGGATTTTATCCAAGAAACAGCATTAATTGTCTTTGGATGTTAACTTTTTAGAGATTAATCGCCTTGATCGCTATATATATCGATCTTTGTCATCGCAAGATGTCGAGAAAAAATAGCCTTTGCTTGCATTTACACCAATTGAAATAGTTTACAAATTTTTGATAATAATCCTTTTTTGTTTCATTAAGTTTAATTTTCGACACCTTTTATATGAAAAAAAAAACAAAAAAACAACAAACACTGAAAATGATTGTTGTTAGGCTCTTGATAATTTCGACAATTACCGACGGTACTGTATCAAGGAAAGTTTGCATGTTCCGTGAAAGGCATTCTAAAATTGTCAGTCCCTGGATAGGTTTTAATTAAGGCTAATTAATTGATTGACTGTGCTTTTATGTTCGATATTTATCTACTGTTTTGAAAATTATATAATTATTTTTGCATTTCACCGTTTTTTCCATTCAATGTTCTTTTTATTTATTTATTTATTCCACTCCGATCATTTTTTATTCGATCCATGTGCTCTAAATTAACAAAAATGATTTAATTATTCATACAAATTAAACAACAAATGATAAGCATGAAAATCAACAATTTTATAACGTTCGACTTCCATATAATTTTGAAAATTGCCGTACGGCTAGACAATACGGTGCGTCCTGGCTAGTCGTTCGTGACTCACGTACGGCTAGAACTTTTGGCTAGCCGTACGTTTCTTTATTTATTATTATTTTTTTTTTTGATATTGTTACGTATTTTGAACCATAAAAAATCTCCTCTACACCTCCTGTGAAAATTAAATTGTCTGATCAATACTTTATTATATTAATATTTCCTTACGATTCAACTAGATTTATCATGAATCTAAAAGATGTGGGGAAATGACATCACGCGCACCTGTTTTTATACGGCCAATACACAAACATGGCCGCGCTTACCGATTTGTAGAAATCGGTGATTTAGCGATTTAAATTTTGTTATCATTCGTTTGATATTATTATTTGGCGGCAGAAAATTTGCAGACTTATTATTTATAGTATTCTTTTTCTGAAATCAAGTTTTTATTTTAACCTTGGCTTTCCCTTTAAGTTATTATTTATAATAATTGTTCAATCAAAGCATCTTATGAAACTATAACGCACCTTTTTTCCTATATGTCAAATTCTAATTCCAAAATGAAAGTAAAATGGGCCTGCAGATTGTTTTCAAATGGAGTATTTTCATTGGTCACAGGAAAACCTCGGACCAATGAAAATACTTAAAGGGAAACAACTCTGCTGTGCCAATTTACTTTCATTTTGGATTGAGAATTTGACATATAGGAACAAAGGTGCGTTTAGTGTAAGTCATGGCCACGCAACGTTTACCTGTGGTTTGAATATTACTCCCTTGACATAAAAAAGAACATATAAAGTTTTGTTTATTCGATAATATATGTCGATTTGATTTGACATAAATCTATTGGGTAATGCAACTTGGTAGTTACATAATCCGAAGGTTTAAAGTGAAATTGTTTGATAGAATTATTGTATTAATATATATACATGCGCCCTTTAAAGAATTAAAGAACTTGAGCAATTTCCGGCGCATGATTTGCACATAGTTGTGGCTTTTACAATCGTCAACTTATTAAAATTGTGGAGTTATATCGCAAATTAAGCTTAAAAAGTAAAGAGTCAAGATTTATCATTAATATATTCATCCTCAAACATTGAAAAATAGATAAATGTCTAAAGTCAACATGTAGCTCATATAACAAGTGTAATAGCGAGATAATTATATCAGTTTGCGTGCCTGTATGTCTGGATTTATACCGTTCAATCCACTTAAAGAGTGTCCTTGAGTTTTTTGTTTATGTTCCCAGAATTCAAGCTACGTGATTATATTGCATCGAGTGAGTCATATATTGAGAGCATGAGCTTGAAATTTGAATCTTATTCATGTATGCACTTATACGTAGGTTATTATTTAAATAAGATAATAATAAGTTATTTGTGTACGCGCCGAAGCGCGACGCCTCTTATGGAATGAGAAAGGGCGACAGCAATTCGTCGGTCATAATAGCCGATCATTCCGATTGGTATGAGGATGTTTGATTAACAAAAATGAAATGTAGCGAACAATAAATAGCGAACTGGAGAATTTCGCTATGCAAACATATTCAATTGAAATTACCTTATCCGTCAATTAATCGCGCTCTTCGGGTTTTTTTTATTAATCATTTTGTAGTAAGTATACACAGTGGGTTATTGTGTATTACTGTACCTATAAATAGAATGATGACATTAACAATGTGACAGTCCGAAAATCTATTTATAGAAGTTGTTTTAGTTTAACGAAACGGTCATTCGTGTCGTGCTATGGTTATAAATAACGAATTGGAGAATTTTGCAGGAAAAGAAATTTGAAAAATGAAACATATTCAATCAACTAATTGCACTTCGGATATTATAGACCTATATATTTTGGATATTAATAGAATTTCAAGTTCCTGTGGAAAAAAAAAATATTCTAATCTCTAGCATTCCTACCAAAGTCCATGATGAACAATGTCTTTCGTCCGCCCATTCATAAATATTATACAATGCTGGTAAAAACCAGTTAACCATTGAAAAGTTTATAAGAATATCTAGTAATCAGCTGTCTACTAGTTCATCTTCACTTGTCACATTTCTTGCATTGACGCCCTTTGATGCTTGGCATCAATGCTTTTCTTGTTAATGTTATATGTAATGAAGATTTTATGGACTAAAGGTTATGTGTAATAAAGGTTATTGTCTTGGCTTTGCCAGTGTCACCTACTGATGAAAGTGAATTCAGAAATTTACTCTTTTTCATTTTAAAAGAAGGTTTATAAATTGTCGACATTTAGCGCTCATCGAGATTAGGTTTGGGGCCTTTTATATGTATAACGGTAAACAAACGTTATATTTATACCGTAGATCATAAACGATTAAAGAAATACAGTATAACCCCACTAATGAGACCGCTTATGGTTCAGGAGGAAAATGGTATTTATCACAGAGTGGTCTGAAATGTAACTCCAAGGGGAACCATTCTAGTAAACGACCCGTGCTACTTGCTATACTTTAATAGCCGCCGTCCACCCGTTCTTGACGAGTATGGTCCTATTCGCTTTTAAGGAAATAAACTGACATATTTCTTTCATACAGGCATTTTGGAAGGTTTTTTTTCCTTTTCAAAAATTCAAACAATAAATGTGCAATAAATATAAAGCTTTATACACTTTAAATGTGCTAAGGATGGATCTATAGAAACGTGAAAGAGGCCCACATTATATTAGAAAAACAGAAAACATCACTGTGCAGGAGCGTTCTTTTTTTCTTTTCTTAACAGTACAGAATTTTTATCAACATATTTAACACTATTGAACACTTTTGCATTTCATTTTTTACGCGTTATGTGATATCAACGAAATTGAAGACGAATTTCATTTTATACTTAAATTTAAAGTGTAAATAGAATTGCGAACAAATTTGTATAAATTGAATACATTAATCTATTGAATACATGTTTATTTTAGGAGCGTCTTCTAGTTTATCATCGAATCAACAGGACTTGAAGTTGAGAGACGGTGGAGGCCGGGTAGAAAGATCTAAAGGGTGTTCTAATGACGGTAAATCCATAGATTACGCGCATGCATAGTTATTCTGTTTAACCACGAACTCAAAGAAACAATATCTAGGATAAGACTTAAAACAAAATGCTGTTTAAAGATGAGATAAGTCTTTGCCACCAGAATAGAGCCTGGCCAGCTCGCATATCCGTGCAGCGTGACCAAGCTCTTTATTGCTGGTGACTAAGTCAGTCTGAGATCAATTTGACTTCCTGTAAAATTTACAGGGAAGAACTGAATATTAGAAAGATTTGCATTAGTCATTTTGAAATTGCTATCTGAAATCCGGGAATCTTCAACTTTGAAGTAGTGAAAACCTGTGAAAAATTATTCTGCAGGTGTATGGTTAACTGTGCTATTACTTTATTTATAATTTCTTCTTAATAATAGTTAGTCGCATTAAATTGTATTATACGATAAAAATCTAGATCGTAAATCGTAAATGCTACTAATTCTATTTTCCCAAAACCTATATTTTTTTGGTAATTTGTAACAGTTATCAAAGTACTACTCATTTGCCATATACATGAACTATCTTTTTATATAAAGGCCTGTTGGCAATTTGTATAATAATAGTGAATTAGTCTTTTGTATGGAAGTAAAATACTACATGTACTTTGTTTACATTTTGCTACCTTTTTGACACATTTCTGTACGTTCGGCGATACTTTCTTCAGTTGTTAAACAGATACCAAGCTCTAATTCAATTATTCATTAACACTATCAAATTTTACAGTTCTAAAGTATTTAGAAATATTGATATCTGAAGCTATATGCGACTTTTACCGAATCTCCAAAAGATAAAAGTATCTGAGAAATGAATTAAAAGCATTGTTTGGACTTATTTGACCTTTAATTTTTCAATTTCTATTATGCTGGGTTAGTTAAATGAAATGTGTTATGTCTATCATTAAGTGCATATATTTTCAGCCAAGCAACTTAAAGCGGTTCCAAATCATGCGGATATGTATGGAGGAAGACTTGTTGATCTTTCTGGTCCATGTTTCGCGACAGACAAACCGGCATATTGCCAGTTCAAAAACGTATGTTAACGTTTTGCTTTGCTAACATGTTGTTGCCATGAGTAGTCCATTTTTACCTTATTTCACCTAGTTATAAACCTACAGGATAATATTGTGATTTGGATGGCAACAGGTGGTAAAATACGATGTTTTCTCCAAAGCTGTTGTTTTAGGAGGAACCATTAGGTAATAACGGCGGAAAGTGTAATCACTAGTACAGAATTCATGAGGGGGGATTTTCATTTAGTCGCAGCAAACATGAATAATATTAAAGAGGCGCTATTTCCAAAACAGAGAAGTTCCTGGGAGTTGAATATTGTCCATCTGACATAAAAATTAGATGTAACTTAATTTTAATTTTCTTCCGATCTGACTTATTAGAAAACTAGAAAAAGGATGTATAAGGATATCTATTTTATAAATGTAAATGTTACAAAATACTTGCAAGTGGTAGTTATCGCCAGTGAAATATAAATATTTTGCTTTATCACATACCCTGTGCAGCCTTTGCGTTCTTTTCAGCCACATGACGGCGTAGTCCTAGCGAATCAGGAAGCTGTAGATATAAGCAGAACACGTGTCCTATGTGTGGTGCCTAGACTTCTAGTACGTGACCGCGTGATTTTAAGTGTTTCAACAGACAATGGGAAAACCTACCCATACAGTACTAACTTTACTATTGGTAAGGGATGAATTTATATTCAATTCAGACTTTGTCTGAGTATCACCATAACAAGATTGAAATAGAATTACAGACACAATGTGCTACTGTTGTAAGATTTGCCATTTATTTAAGGGACTACTGCGGGTTTTTTAATATGACGGGATTGGAAATATTTTTTCGAGATTAATTTTCCATGTGATGTAGGTATAGACCAATAACTTATTCGAAAAAATTCACACATTCGCTCCTTTCGTTTTTCCTAAATAATTATTTAAATTGTGAAAAATGACCCTAAATCTGAAAAGCGTTACCACAAACTGTGCTATGAAAAGCTCAAAAATACGGTTTTTAATATTTCTTGAATACCTTTTGCATATCTTACTATTTTAAGTGTCCAGGAATTCATTTTTAGATGTTTGAGTTTTTATATACAGTGGTCATTGCTGTAAACATCCCTAAACATCTCCTTGAACAATAAACGTGAAATTATTTCCGGGGCATAATCAACCTTTAAAGTTTCATGTCTCGCTCAATTTATTTATTATAGCAGCAGAGTAAAACTTCAATTGTATTCTATTTCTGTTCTTGCTCCAGTTTTTCCCGGAAGAATGCCACCCTTAGTAAGAAACCTAGGGCGATGGTTCTTTCCCGATGCAACTGTTCTAAGTCTTGAATGGGATAATACATTGCTCACCAACGACCGGAATTCTCTGGTTGACATACGACTCATTGGTTTCAAGGAGAATGATGGAAAAGTATAATTACACCATAATTAAGTTCATATGCAACTCATCCGTGCACTTTACAAGTTTCATCCCATTTTCGCCAAATAAAATTACCGATTTTATGATTTTGTATTAAGAGTGCAGTCCTGTGCTAAATATTTTCAAAGGACTCCTGTCTATCTTTCAATCTTGACACAACCATTCACCATTAAAATTTGATTTTTCTTTTAAAAAAATCTCATGACAGAATAGTGAACAGTGCAGATCATGATTAGATGGCATGGGTGTGCTGGATGGTTTGGGTTTGCACTGGCGAATAAGTATGTTCAGTTGCCGCTAGAATTATTAAAGAAAGCATTGAAATAATAGAAAATGGTAATCGATTTTTGGTTTGCATTGCTTTTATCAAATCTTTTTTTTTCTTTAATTTTCAATTTCCTCTATAAATCTACAAGGTGCATATTTATTTTATATACTTTTATATACTAGGTATATAAGCACACACGCACACACAGCGAGGCGATAACTAATGCCCTCCCTGAAATTTATGTTAAAGAAAGTACATGTTGGCGTCTCATTGCAGGCAATTTACAAACCTTTGATCACCCTTGGTAAAGATGTACCGGCGTCAAATGGTGAGTATGAATTTGAAGCCAGAAACTACCAATGCACAGGACAAGACTGTTTCGAGTATGAGGTCGGATTGGTTGAGGTGAAACTACAAGAAAAGTTCACGCCTACCAAGAACAAGTATTTGATACTTATTATGTTCTGTATGTGTATTGTCTTAAGATGCTCGTACTATGAAAAAAGATGACGTTTAAACTTTTGAAGAATGTCAAACACTGTAAAATTAATAGCATGGCATACTCGGGTCAAGTTAGTTGAGTCTGGTTGATTCTTTTTTTATTTTGAACGGTAGTGGTTATAGTTTATATGTATGGTAAACGATCTCATACCATTATAATAAAGAATACAACTCGAGGTCCTAAACTCAATCGGGATTATGTCACATCGGTATTGTGTCTTATCATCACTTCTTGCATGATTACAAGGTTATCGCATGCATATAGTAACAAACTTTGATTTATTTATTTTACAGGTTTTTGTCAACAAATCGTGTACCACTCGGTTGGTTTGTCAGAAATGTAATGAAAGCAAAATACGGCTCGGATTGGCCCTCTGATTTGTGTATGAAATGGCATAAAAGCTCTTCTCGGGACATGAAATGGTTTGGCGAGATTCTTAAATGTCCATGTTCGCTGGCTCAGGCAATCGCAGACTTTGGAAGGTGGCAGCCTGATAAAGGATGCAATCTACAAAAGGCGGCCAATCCGCGCAATTGTTTTTACCACAATGCTGCCGTTCATTGCGTGCGTTCCGTGCAGCCAGTGTAAGTTAAAGTACTTTTTAGCGTTTTGGAATTTTTATTATCATTTTTATTTATCTATTTTGTTGTAGTTAATGTCATCCGTTTTTTTTCATGTAAAAAATCGTGTCTACGTCTTGTTTATGAGTGAGACATGTAAAAAAAAGCTTAAGTGGATTATCAAATGACATCTGAAAATGCTTGATGATTTTTGAAGAGGTAATGATTAATTCACAAGGAAAGTCCTCCAGAAAATAATTTTTATCAAGTGTAATTTCTTTCAAGCTGAGAGCCAATCACGTGTAAGTTATGTTTTAATGACTCGCCCATGGAAATTTTCTTATGTACTTGAACTTTCTTAAAGCTTTTACCTTAAGTATTAGATCTACTTGCAGTGAATGACAAATAAAATGTACTTACAAAAATATTTTTTTATCAGACAAAAATGGTATAAAAACATTCTACAATACTTTAAGTACTATTTCAAGGCGATTTGTATTTTATATTGCAAGGTTCATTGTGTCCCCACGTTAGGGGGCAATCAGATTTACCCTAGTCCGTTCGTCCGTCCGTTCTCATGTTGTATCGCATTTACGTAAAAGTGCTTGAGCTAATGCCAACAAACTTTACAGAAATGTTGATCAGCATGTGAAGTTGAGCACCTAGGGTTTCACGTGTGGATTAAAATTAAAATTTGAATTAAGGTTTGTAGAGTTATTGCCCTTGACTAAGTAAAAACTTGCTATTTTCAATTTGTGTCGCACATAGCTCTAAAAGTATTTGACCTAGAGTCATGACACTTTACAGAAATAAGCATGTGAAACGGTGCACCTTGGGTTTCAATGTTGACTTTTTATTATTTGTAGAGTTATTGACTTGACTTAGTTAACATTTGCCCAAAAAATATTTGACCAAATCATGAAACTTTACAAAAAAATGTTCGTCAGCATGTGTAGTTGTGCACCTGGGGATTCGCTTGCGGATTTCTTTAATATTTGTAGAGTTATTGTTCTTGACTTAGTAAATATTTTCAACTTAAAAAAATAAAGTATTTGACCTTGAGTCAGGAAAGATTACTGGACTGTTGGTCAGCATGTGTAGTTGTGCATCTATGGTTGGTAAAAATCAGTACGTCAACATTGAAAAAAATGGATGCTGTTTTATGCCCCAACCACATTGTGGTACGGGGGTCATATGGAATTTACTTTGTCTGGTCCCTTTGTCTTACTGTCATGTTGTACGTCAGTAGACAGTAAGGTGTGAAGACAATTGTGTTCTATGGACACATTTCTAGTTTATACTTCACATGAAACTGTTCAGTTTTCGCTCGCAGGACCATTTCCTCTTGCTTAAAAATCGTTTCGCAATGTGGCATAAGGTCACGCCAAACTGCTATGTTCAGCATTCTCTACAATGCCAAGAGCTTTGATATTTTGGAAAATCTATAAAAAAAGGTTTTAGATATTATTATGCAGTTTGGGTCTAAAATGACAACATCGTATGACCAAATCACTGACATTCTTGTTGTAAAAACGTGACCTCCTAAGCAATGCATTTCAGGTGAGCTTAAAGAACTATCATGGCCCTTTTTTTAAAAGAAATTTGTTTGTTTGTTCTGATTTACTTAAATGGCATGGGACTATATTTTTGCGCGTATGTATAGATATAATTGTTGTTCTAAAATATATGCAAGGCATGATAAGAAGACGATTTGTCTTCAAAAACTGTTTTAATGTTTACAGATGTGTTGTTGCTCTGAACATTTTAAATGTTGAAAATGAAGTAGCTTCACTTATTTGTACAACAATGCTGATTTCCTGAGCTAAATGGCTTCAAGAAGAAGTGATATAATGGGTGCTTTTGTCAACGGACAATATATTTAAGACTTTGTTTTTATCAAAGCATGCTATTATTTTAGCAATGCTAACCAAAATTTATTTGATATGACATAGCTTCAGATCCAAACCAAATAAAAAAGCTTTCATTTTGTATTAAAGAAATGGAGCCGGAAACCAGTGTTGTTACAGCGCTAAAGGATATCTTGTGTTCGCGGCAGACACATATTTTGGAAGTACAGCTGACAAAAGTCACGATTGGGGAGCTGCACCATATGGTAAACCTGGTCATGTTCCAATTCTCTCTCATTGGGTAGACGATATAATTCCGCTATTCAGCTGTTGCCAGTGGACAAACTTCAAGTCATGTGACTATTATGTTCAGCTAAGAGGAACTACGGATTGTACGGAATATAACCCTCCTGTACCAGGTATATATCTGCTAAATTTGTACTGTTATATCCTACGATACCAACTATCGAGCTAAAACGCTCACATGCCAAGGTCACACTTGAAGGTCAACATTGATGGCGGGTATAATTTGTCATGTTCATAACTTTTTATCAATGAAGCGATTTTGAAATTTACTTGGCTCACCATAATATGACGATGTGCCATGCGCTACACCAAGACCGTACCCCCAAAGTCACTTAGTGGTTAAAGCTTAAGATCTGTTTTAGACTCGTTTTAGGTCAACATCCTTTCAATTCATGAAAGGAATTTTAACATAAGTTTGTACAAATATAGACAATGTGTCATGCGCAACACCCCAGAACCTCACCGTCAAGATCAAGGTCACAATTACTGGTCAAATCATAGCATTGTCGCATTGTCGCTAGAACAGGACGACAAAATGACGATGAGACAACGCACCGTTTGGCGTGTTTCTCTAGCGACAAGACGACAAGACGAAAAGGCGATAACGATATAGGTTGTGTTGCTATCGACAACGCAACGCGCAAAGTGTACCAAATCAGCCACCATACTTCTTACCGTGGAGAACAAACGTGTTCATCACATTGTAGCGCAGTTTGGTCTTTATTCGTTATTGTTTTCTTTTTAAGTTTATTTCTGTGTTTTATCGTTTTATGAAGTTTCTTACTTTACTGCTAGTTTGTAACATAATTATGATGACGTAAGAATTGTGACGAAGTTTCACTGCCATATTTATTTTACAGCGTTTGTGTACGGGCAAGGTCACATTGCGACATTAAGAGGCCAGAAGATCCGCGTCATGGCGCCGGGGGATTATATCTTGCTTAAAGCAGGGACCACAGAGGTGCAGGCGAGATTTGAGAATAATCTTACTCCAACTGAAAGTAAGCAGTTATAACTAATATTTTGAAGTCGACAAAGCATACATGTTGTTTTATTTATGGCATTTTTATAATCAAACATTAGAATGGAAATAACCAAGATAAGCAATTGACGTATTTGCGTAAATTTAACTAAAGGGAAGTAACCGTGTAAAGTTTTGTTTAAACAAATGGTTGATTTAATTAAAGAGAAGTTACCGTGTAAAAACAATGCTTGCTTAGTTAGAGGATATTTCATTTTCCCTCCAGGTAAACACACATGGACTTCATATCACAACTCATTACAAATCTTATATCTTTCTTTTTTCACATAGGTGGGAAGGTTATTAACAACACGTTCACGTTGACATCTGTGGCCATAGAAAGCGATGGAATATCAGACAGGGTAGAACTACGGTTGCAAAAAGATGATACTAAAAACATTGTTTACATCGAAGTGCTACTGAATGGAGAAATTAAAGAATTTAAGGAGAAATCTTTAAAATGGCAAGATTTCAAAGGTAATGCTAGCTTTGTTAGTGTCAGTGACAATATGAAGTATATGAAAACCAATATCTTTTTAGAGATTCGTTGGTATTTATTATGCATTTTTTAAAATTTAATTGTCATAATTATAACATATGCTATTTTAGTGTAGATAAAACCGTTTTGTTATAAACTTTATAATGTATTTTTCAATAAAACGTTGATTATAAACAACACTATATATCATACATTAAGCAATGGTTTTAGTAGATCTGCTGCAACACGAGTTGCAAAGGGGTTAACGAGCAGCCGACTTATCTTAAAGGGAAGATGACTGCCATGCAAAATGTTAAACCCATACTCTCCATGCCATTGTAAGGACATTAAATCTATGGTCTTATCCGCCCATGCATTTAAAAGACATTAGACACATGATCTATTTCAGCAAATGATTTGAAAATACATTATATGTTAGCTACATTCCGATCATGCAATCGAAAAGACATTAAGTCTAACTAAAATACATACAGATCATGCAAAAAGAAAAAAAAGATCAATACCTACATTCTGCGAAGCAAGGTCACGTTTTTCGATATTAAAAAGTTAGATTTTTAGCTCGACTATTTGCAGAATAATCGAGCTAATGCATTCACCCATTTGTCGGCGTCGGCGTCCTTGTGGGTATAAGCTGGTATTTCCATAACTACTAAAGGGACTGGATTGAAACTTCACACACTGTACTCTGTGATTATCTAACATGATTGGCACAAGTCTCATAACTCTGATTTGCTTTTTTATATAAGTATGCCCTATGACTTAGAAATTCTTGTTAAAGGTTTTGCTTGTAAGCAGGTATCTCCATAACTACTGAAGGGTTTGTGCCTTTTTGGAAAAAAATTATGCATTCATGATAATAAAGCAGTGATTAAGTCGATAAAACATCTTAATAACAAGCCTTTGTACCTTTCCGGACAATTTTATGTATTCATATAGGTAAGCATTATTATACTCAATGAAACACCCTTGTGACAACTTTTCGAATAGTCGAGCGTTACTGTCCTCCGACATTCCTTGTTTTATTGATTATATTCTTTTTTTAATAGCAAGTGCATTCTACATATTTCTTTTTAATTCTCATTTCAGGTGTTGCAGTTATTAATACCGATTTGACCGGAAAGAATGACAATTATACGGTGCTTCTTACCAATAACATAGGGTTTCAAGTGGCAACCGTTGCTGGCACCATGCAGCTAGATCTTATGATGCCTACGGACATTATTGTAATCTTTCATTACATTTTATTTTAATTAATGCAAATATTTTTATTTAATTTATAAGATGCTAAATAGCTCTTATTTAATCAAAATAAAGAAGGTTATAACCAAGGCAGGGAAAAACATAAATTTGCACGATATATGGATTCTAGAATGATAGTTAATTATACGTATTATGATATGAGGGCCACGTCATTATCTACAAACGTCAATAAAATTATTTTATAATTTTATAACAATCATTATTACACTATTGATAGTCCATTACAGTACTTAAATCATAATCAATAGTTTGAAGTACTTTAGTAGTCATAAAATGTGAAGCTACCAGACACCTAGGATTTTTAACGTACTTTTTTGTTTTAATGTAGTAATTTTATACTTGTTATTCATTAACTGATACTATTTTTTCATCTTAAACTGTAAATTAATATTAGCGAAATAATTCTTAATTGTCAGACACTACTTATCATAAATGTAATTTAATTGTAAAGTAATTGTAAAGTAATTGTAAAGTAATTGTAATGTAATTGTAATGTTATTGTAATGTAATTGTAATCATAAACTCTTACCCTGCTGGAAACCAAAACTAAAAACCTTTTGACACAAACATAGAGAAAAGCCAGATGGCACATCTGTGTAATCTGACCAGGTTCTGTTTTGTTGGTATATGTAGTTCAGATTTTGTATTTTCTCATCGAAATCCCTAAAAATGAAATAGAATAAGTTATTATACAAAATTCAAAATAGGACTAATGCATTATAGAAACTCAGCAGGTTACGGAATCAAGCCACATAATGCTTCAGAAATCCATACTTTTTTTTTAATTTTTCAGAAATGTCAAGCATGTGTTTAATAATGTTTAAATTATAGATTAAGTGCATGTTAGATGTTTTACATCTACAGGAAGTAGTGCTAAACATGCAAAGTAGTCTTTTTACGTCCATACTAATTCACGATGATTGTACCAATTGCAAACAGGGCTAAAGATACAAAAGATAGTTCTGGCATATAGCAAATGAGTATATTTTTGGAAACAATAACAAGATACCTTTATATAAAAGATATAGGTTTTGATAAATAAAAATGATAAAAAAAAAGAAATAAAAATGATAATTATCTTTTTCTGACGCATAATGGGCCTGTTTATAATGGATGTGTTTAATTCATCAAATTTTCAAAATCATATTAAATAGATTTTTGTATTTTACATGATGACTGCAGAAAGTGACATCTGGAATATTCGGAAACATTGACGGAGGCGAAACATTGTCGAATGGTGAATCAATTGATTTATTTGATGATGCTAACAAACCCGAAGATGTGTACAATTTTGAAAAAGCATGTAAGTTTTACTTGGCTCTTTTTGCACAACTTTTATTTTTGTTTGAATAAGATTGCTTTAAACTGTTTAGTTTTACATTAAATGGGTCTAGGTAAGTTTTATAGAACGAGTTTTGAATTGATTGCTGTTCCTAGGAGGAAACTGAACAATCCTTAATTAAATCTGTGTATATCTAATTTTTAATAACATGTTTGTCTTTAATTGGTTCAGGTTTTTGTGATTTTCTATTTTGCAATTTACAATTAAAGTATATATGTTAATATATTATTAATTATAATGTGTAGCATGTATTTAATAATAAAATTTTTCTTAGAATCTGATACATACTATAGCACTTACAAAAATTTAATTTTATAACCTCATTTGTAAAGAATTTTTTATATAAATAAATTGTCAGAACTCCACTTTAATGGTTTTGTTAAACTTCAAATTAGCACAAAAAATTATTTATTTTGCAAAAGTAAATAACCACAACAATTATCTTTTTCCATTACTGTTCATTCACTTTATTTCTTTGACTTCGAATTTCGTGGTTTTTGTCGCAAAGAACATTTTCTTAGACTGTTAATTTTCCAAAAGGTGAAATATAGATAATGTCATGCAAAATAATCTTACAGCAGACGAAGTGAAATTTCGTTGAATCTTTAATTCGTGGAGACCTGAAAATTAGTTCCCCACGAATAATAATGAGCATATACATAACAAATTTTAGGAGTTCAATTATTATTAGTGTGCTTCAAATATTAAAACGTAAATGATATTATCCAGAGCCTCAAGATAATGTTTTCAATTAATCTTAGGACGATAGATAAAAAACAAAAATCCGAGAAACAGTGTGGGTAATACATTTACCAGTAGACGCTTTTACCGGCCAAGACGTATAATAGTCCTTATCTTAGATGCGTTCACAAAACCCGAACGACTTACACCACAATTTTGTACATTCTTTGTCAATATTTTCTATAAGAAAAGGTCTAAATTTCAGAATCTTAGGTACGTAATACATTTCAAATATACCATTTTATCTAATTTCAGGGAAGGTGAAAAATAACAACCTTTTTAAAGACAGTAAAACGTTTCCAACAGAAGCAATTTTCAACCCTAAATCATTATCATTAAGAATACGTTCCCAGACTTACTGTACAATCAGCAGACGGACTATTTTTGATGATTGTGAATTTGATTACACGTAAGTAAAACTAGCAATGATTAATAATAAGTTGGTCGACAATTCGCATAAAAGTGAATTGGTCTATAAGGCCGCGTCTTCACCTATTCAAGTTTCTTACATGTCACATTTAGATAAGCTAAATAATGGAAGGTATGCAAAGCAATAAATGATCCATAGTATTTAGTATTCAGACATTTCATATTGTTGGCATGTGCGAGATACATGATCTGATGTTGCATACTGATATTTATATAGCAGATAATAAAGTGCTCTAGAACAAAAAAATTATAGCTCATCATAACAAATGTTCATAATAAATCATTCAAAACTGTATAATTTAAATATATTTATTTCTTCTTCAATATTTACAAACAAAATTACAATACATAAATTACGTCCAGGATTGAGTAGAAAGCTTAAAGCTTATATGAAACTCACTCCTGTAAAAAACATTTCAACAATTAATTTTAGTAACAACATTAAATAGTTTTTGTAATTACAGTTCATTGTACCTGCATCTAATTCCATCTATATATTTACAAGAAGATAAAAAATAGACAAATAACTACTACCTAAGAAGTAATTTGTAAAGTGTCATATAATGAGGAGTTGGTCATGTCAAATGTTTAATATGTAATGCCTTTATCAAATTTAAATATTTTCTCGACATTGGAGAAAGGGAGATAAATAGCGTCTGCATGCATAACCTAGTACAGAATTGTTACAATAATGTAAGAACATTATTTTACAAAAGTAGAATTCAGATCGTTAGAAACAGTTATCTCTGACTGCTCTCTTGTGGACCTGAACTAAACCAGAACACGAACTGGAGCCTAGAAGCTCCAGTAAGGTCTCAACATTTCTTTTCAAGCATTATTTAAGAATATCCAAATGTAACATTACTATTGTTTATATCGATAATTGTAATACTTATGGATAAGGTGCCCATTGCAGACCAATCCACTTTAAAAGCAGATCATGTACCTGTCTGTTCGTAAAGTCGTGAAACCTAGTCTTTTTCTTGTTTTTCTCTCAATGTAGACTTATTCAAAAACAAAGACTTACGGAATGCAAGACATGATGTTTCTTATAGCAAACTTGTCTAAGCAAGTCGTATATTGTCTGACATTTATTGGCAGTCTTATATTTAAAACACAGGTTCTAATATTGTGCGACCGTCATTTTAAACAGATTTAAAGCAAGTCAAACCAATTGCTGCTTTTGAAAAAAAATGTTTATCTCTTAAGTGAAACAACATATTTTGTCGAATGTATAATTGCTTTTTTTATCAGTCGCACTGGCTCAGAAGCGATCGCAAAGGCAACACAGGAAGCTGGTATCAGGCGCGAGTCTCTTATTGATAATTTAGAGCCAAGTATGTTGTAACTTCGTATTTACGTACTTTATTTTCTATCATTTACAGTAATCATTACCAGTAGGCATTTATTCATTTCAATCTTTACAACAAGTAATTCTTACATTATTGCTCAAATATTTAATACTAATTTTATAATTTTCAAATTGTTAACTAGTATTATATATCTTTGTATAGAATCAAAATAAAACGACTAGCTATAAAATTTTATATTTTAGTGTGAAGAACAAGATATAATCTTCTCATTTAAATGTGCGCAATGATGCATTAGATATGCTGTATTCTGCATTTTTTTTCAACCATTCTGATCACTGCCGGCTAATTAGTGACACTACGTGAAAAACATAAAAAGATCTGACCTTGAGTCAGATTTGTTCTTCTGGATCATGCTGATCGTAAGGTAGTCTAACTGTAATATTTTCCCGCCAAAAAATCTCACATCTGCCAATATTGTTATAAATCGGCCATTTCAGGACCGTTATTTTTCACAATATTCTGTATTCAATATTTTTAACCGTTAATAACATAACGATAAACGATATATGATTGTAAATAACATAATACCCAGTCTATTGAAAAAAAAAAACGTTCTAGAAATAACCGATTTACTACGATATTGGCCGATCTTTGAATTTTTTGGCGGGAAAGAATTGCATTAAGTCTACCTCAAAATTGGGTCAATGTGACAAGTGTGTATTTTGCTTTTTTCAGTCCGGTCTTGTGGTTTACTTGATGTTCCGAGATCTAAAAAATCGAGCTATGAATACACAATTGGTACAACCACGACCGTAACTGAATGTAGGAGCGGTTCTTTATCGGGTAACACCACATATACATGCGTTGACAACTTGGGTGAAACTCAGGCCTGGTCTCCGGATGTGACAGCAAAATGTGGTATAAAAGGGTTTTTTATTGAGCATAAGCTTTTAACAACATTTTTTTTATTTGTAGGGATATTTGGTATTGATATCAATCTAAATATTGTATATACGTGTATTGTTCTTATTTAATTGATTTATTTTGTCAGATATATAAATGCAGTTGCATTTAATAAATATTCGTTAAATTTCAACTGATTTTATGAATTATATATGGTGTGCTTCTCCTGTCCATGAACTGCGGGCCCTATCATTTCTTCCAATCTTTGTCTAGTATACACTGTTATCAGATATCATTACACTTTATCCGAATAAGAATTTGCATATAGACAAGATGAATATATTCATACGCACTTATTCCGCTTAAACTGTCCATAGAATAGTTCTTTTAACTACTATTTTTATAAATATCCATTTAATCTCATCTGATTTTATGAATAATATATGGTGTGCTTCATTTAGAAATTGTTTCATATAATGTCACTTTATGTAACATTAAAATTGTTTTAATTGTGAACAGGTAATGTATGTCCATATATACATATATTAATCAAATAACTGGAAAAAACAACTGGAAACTAGAATGACTTCCTGTCATATAACTGTAGTCACTGTAATTTGTGACCAAACGTGATCTATTAATACACATCACAAAAACTATACCGAAAATGTTACTCAGAACCTGACAATAAGTTTTTAGTGTATGATTGTTGTACTCAACCATACTCATAATGATTCATGAACACGTCCTTCGTTTTCCATTGTCCAATTTTCATCACTGTCTCTGGTAAGACTCCCTGCGTGACAGCTAATGTAGCACCAGTGGGTCTGAACGACTAAGCAGTATATCCCTTTAATCCAGCACGACTGATGGCATGTTCCAATATATGACTAATGGTATCACTTGTCACTGCCGCGAAAGGAGCACGTAAAGATATGAATAATGGTTTTAATGTCAGATCCCGCAAATGTTCTGTCAGTGCATTATAGCATTTCAATCACGACACAGGATCCATTATCGAATCTGGATTTGACGAAATCTCTACAACAAAAACATTCTCTTGGTATCATTTTGAATACCCCAAAAATGCATAGTTAATGAACCGTTTTCACCAAATCATAAGTAGAAATTGCAATCCGTTGAAGTTCGAAATCATCCCGGTTAAATATATTTGCCTTAGGCGCCAAATCAGATGGACGTGTCATCATTACCTACTTCATTCGTAAATCCGCAACAGATAAATTGCTATTGTCACCCAAAAGTTGTAATAATCAGCGAGACATTGACCTTATGGTCCCTGTTTTAGTCAATGAAACAATAAGTCTTTTTATGTCTGGATTTTGAATAGGTGAATCCTTATCTATAGACTGAATCAAGGAGGATATGGAAGCAGACACTGTACTAAGTATAGATTCAGGTCGTTCAGAAGAATCTGCTATTTCGCATAAAAATTCCGCTAAATGGTCTAATGTTCTATTTTCAACAAATGGTATTCCTTTGTCCTTACAAAATGAAACGTAACAATTTGCATAATGATTGTAAATATGCATAGTGGATTCTGCAATACAATGCGTAGTCTGACGAGCAGCCCTAACAGACCACCCCATACATCTTAACCTAGCTGACCACAGATTATTTATGCATACATCTTTAAATACCTGTTTTTGATTAGTTCTATTTTAGGCCCGATGGCTTATACTGTTCTTTTTGATAATGGCAGTGGTTTGGTACACCTATTAACATGGAAATCAGTTTTTGTACCAATGTTTGCTTTCCAACTTTGGTGCTATTAACGTTGCAATTGCTCGCTGTGGACATATTATGTTCAGCACCTTTGGAATCAATGCAAATGGAGGATTGACATAGTTGTTGAAAAGACCCTAATCGACTTGTGCTAACTCGTCTACTACGTGTGTTAAAGGATCCCAAAACATTGAGATGTAAATTGACAGTTGCGTTGTAGTGATGAACGCAAACAATCTATGTCGTGCGGCCTCCAAATCCTGTCCAACATGTTGAATAAATTTGGGTGTAATTTCCATTCGTACGTAGACTTTATGCGGGATAACTGGTTGGCACGATAATTTTCCATCCCTGAAAGAAAACGAGCTCCTATTGTGATATTGTGATCCATTGCCGTTATGTGGATATTGCGTGCAACAGTATCTAGATGAGTAGTTGAACTCCCCATATTGTTCAGAAAAGCTACAGTGGTAATACTGTCTGACAACACTTGGACATGTTTGCCTTCCAAGTGAGTTATGAATGAGAGAAGCCCCATTAACACAGCTGACAATTCGCGGAAGTTTGAACTTCTGTACGTCATAGACTTGTCCAAAAGGCCTTGTGCCTCGTAGTTCGGTATCCATGCCCCCATCCGTAGCCAAAAGAGTCTGTCACTAATTGTACATCAAACGATGTTTTGTTTAGTACACTAGCACCCACTGGATTCCAGTTATGTACTGAATTATACCACCATGTAAGGTCAGGAAAAGTATACTTATCAAAATTCAACGTATCCTGCCACGATTTCCTTGTTTGCAAAAGCCTATCAACATTTCTTAAAAGCAATTTTCTGGTAATACATATTTAGTCATAGAAACACATTGACCCGCTACACTCATAGAAACACATTGACCCGCTACACGCGCTAGTTTTTCTTTTTTGCACTTGCATAACCACGACGCAAAATGTCTTTGAAGAATTCTGATTCTTCCTGGATTTATGCTAATTAAAGCTTCATCCCCAGTATTGTCAATAATGTATCCGATGTGTAACAAGCTCGGGTGTTAATGAAGATATTTCATAGTTAATGGCTAAACCTAAATTCTGTCATACCGATACAAAAATGTTTTTGAAAGTTTCAATGTTTTTTTTTAGGATCCGAACACAATAAAATCTTCCATATATGCTACAACGCGAAAACCTATAGAGCGTAAATACTTGATAACTTCCCTAACAACTTTGTAAAAATAAAATGGACTACAACAATGCCCGAAAGGAAGAACGGTCCACTTGTAATAAATTTAGTACTCTTGATATTCAGCATGAACAGGAATATGAAAACATCCGTTTTTAATATCTGCTGTTATCATATAATCTCTTGATTGAACAACAGAAATAACAGTGTTGATATCTTCATTACAAAACTTAGGTGCAACGCACTTTGAATCCAAAAAACGTAGGTCGGTTACAATACGGAAATTCTAATTTTTCTTTGAAACACAGTTAATAGGCGAAATGTACTTTGGTTTAACCTGACAAATTTCAATATACCCTTGCAGTAACAGATCATTCAATTCCTTCTCCAGAAAACGTGCTTCTTTGTCTGAAAATGACCTATTCACAAATTCAAAACATTCAATATCACAATGAAAGGAAAGTTTACACCATATTCTAACCAATTTAAACCTGTTCATTAGCTCCAATAGGGATTATTACCTATAACTTTACTACAAAAAATATAATAATGTTACTGTTCTTTAATAAAATCCTGTAACTGTTGAGATGCACCACGACCCCTACCAAAATCTGTAGGAAAACGGCTCCTAGAACCACCAAATACGTCAAAACGTCCACGATATGCACTTCGTGGAAAATCACCACTAGCACCACTTTAACAAAAATAGTAATCTCCTGTAACAAACCTCCTTGCAAACTTGGATATGACTGGTGCACTGTATCTGTTGTGTATACTGGATAATTCAGGTGCAACCCGCACGTTGTTAATATTACGCTCTGTAAAGCCAGAATTGCCCTTAGTAAGAGCACGAAATAAGTTGGCTGTGTTAGAATCAAATCTACCTTTCACAAGTAAGGCGGAATATTCGTCCTGTAAATGCTAAAATTTTCAGCTAGCACTGTTGCTATAGGATCTAAATCCAACTGTTTGCCTTCCTGTACCTGGCTAAGTAATTTTATTACAGGCTCAACGTACCTACCACATCTGGACAATACGTTTAGCACAGGCTGATCTTCTCTTTAATTCCAGTACGTGAATCATGCAATTTCAAATTAGTGGGTAAAATAACCTTATCAACTGATGATCGTATAGAACTATATTTCTCCTGCAAATCACTGAATACAGAGTTTTAGCGTGAATATTTGCCTCCAATGCTTCTAAACGATGTAAAATGAATTCCAAAGTAACGTTGTCCCTATTTGGAGATTTTTCAGCACCTCTTCCAAAATAAACAGTGGAATTTAAATGATCAAATTCTTCGTCTTCTGGCGACATTTTCACGGAGTGACCCGCCTGTGAGTGTGCACATGGACAAGATGAATATATTCATACAAACTTATTGTGCGTAAACTGTCCATAAAATAGTTCGTTTAACTACTATTAAAACATCTATAGACTGACAGCAGGTATTTTAATGTCAATATTTGAGAAGACGCATACACATAATTTTGTTATTACAGTTGTATCACGCTTATAAAAAAGTTATATTTGACTCCTTGCTAGGTTTTAGTTGTTCTCTGACGGTAGCAATAATAATCTCAATACTCGTTTTGTTTTGTTAAGTTATACATAAACCGTTTTTCCAACCTTTGGTTGTGCCCAAAATAACACGTTTTATTCCCTTATTGGCATCATTTCCACTTAAGACAAGAAGCAAAATTCTATATTTCATGGTTTAACCGCCGTATGAACACATCTGTGGATGTTTCTAAATTCCAAATTTTACCATTTCATGTTTAAATGTTGAATTCTGCTTAAGCCGGTGCTAGGGGGCGTGGACGGTAACTTGCACTTTCCAGTACCGTCCATGAACAGGCTCAATCAAACCGAGCCTGCAACATTTTCAATTTTGCCGTGTTGGGCTTTCTTTAGGGATTCTGTATTTATCTATTTTGTTGTCTCTTTGCTAGCGACACAGAGTCAGGATACCGTCTTTAAAACGATACAATCAGCATGATGTCTTAATTTGTCTTTTGACGTCTTGTCTGTGATATACAAGTTTCAAACATCGAATTCCAACTAAAAAATATCATTCTATTTAGTTTCGCCAATTGTTTTCTCGTTAAGAGCACACATTTACTTTTGGACCATACGCTTCTACATATGGAATGGCACGGACGTATCAAATTGGAGGTTCCATGATAACCGCAGTATAAACGGAAAGAATGTTTCTACATTCCATTTTTCACTATTTACATGTTTATTTGTTAAATTCTGCAAAAGCTGGTTCTAGGGGGCGTGGACTGTAGTTTGCAATTAACGACCACCGGCTATGAACAGGCTCCATCAAACAGACCGTGCAACATTCTCATGTTTCCATTTTTAAGCGTATTTAAGGTGTAAACTTTTTAACATTTTTTGTGTTTTACTTTACGAAAAAGAGTAAAGTAGTCAGTTGACACCGCCTTGTTGTCTTTTGGCGTCAAAGAGAAAGAAGCCGATTGAAATAACTTTTCGCTTGCGTCAGAGAGAGAGACAGACCGGATAACTAGCATAGCTTCTTTTTTATATTTTTGCTTAAGCCAATTAGCAAAGTTTTTCTCTTGTCTTTTTGTTTCCGACAATTTGGCAATAATGACTTTAAATTGATAAAAAAAACCATTGGCTGCTGTTTAGACACGCTAAAGATCTTTGTTGTCAATTTATTTTCAGAATTGGAAACGGAAATGGAAATGGAAAATTCGTCTAACTCGTCTAACACAGGAATGATTGTTGGCATCGTGATTGCTGTTTTGGTTGTTGTAGCAATTATAATTATTGTGGTTGTCCTCGTTTTTGTACGGAAAAGAAGAAATGGGTAAGATTTTTTAAATTCAAAAGTTATATTTTATAGAATGGTGTTACCATACTTCACCAATTGTTAACATATAGAAATTTACACTTCTTTCATATTAATTTTATCATCCGAAGGGCGGCATATTAAAATCGCACCGTCCGTCTGTCTGTACGTCCACTCTTCATTCGTGTCTGGACTGTAACTTTGTCATACATAGCTTGGCTCAAATGTCTACCACATCAAGATGATTTGTCGCATCCAAGACCCTTGTCCCAAGGTATTAAGGTTGCCATTAATAGCACTTTATTTCACAAAAACAATATTAAGCAATTAGTTACTCTCACTCTCTTTTCTTTTTATAATACCTGAGTGCTTAAAAAACATTTTCTTGGGCATTTGTCATTTGCGTGACAGCTCCTGTTGTAAATGCTATAGTATTAACACAAATTGCATATTGCTAGATGATATATAACAAATTTAAAATGAATTGGTCTAAATAGTAGGTCTGCAATTCTATAAATATTTATGTTGATAGTGTTTAGTATCAGATAGAACAACTAGCCACGAAATCATTGTATATATGGATGCTGTTGTAGATTGATTCATATTAATTAAATGGGAAATCAGGACACCAATTCTCTCTTCAACACACACTAAAATGGATATAGCTTTTCACCACAAGACCCGCATATTGCTTTTCAAAATTAAAGTTCAATGTCACTATCAAAAAGCCCGCAAAAATCACTACTTATCAGACTGTCCTTTGCATGCTGGTTACAATGTATACTCTAGTTTATTGATTATTTTACTCATAAATTTATTATCATTATTATTATTTAACCTTTTTAACATTTTAGAAACCGAAAAGACGGTGCTCCATATGCAACTGACGAAGCGGTCGCTATGAAACCTGAGGATGTTAAGTGACCAGTACCAAAATAATGTTAATAAAATAGGAAACATTTCAAACAAATTTCAAACCAGCAATACCAGAATTTCATACATATATCATACATAGTTTCACATTTATATTTTTGTATTGTATTATATAATAATGTAATGCTACAGCCCGTCTCACACAGAACACAGGGCTTATACGGTTGGCCACCCGTGTAAACCGTACATACAACCGAACCAACCGTGGCGTTATCCGAATTACACTCGGACCATTGTATCCGTGTAAGTCGTGTATGATTTTTGAAACTTTAAAAAAACTGGTACGGATGTCATGTCCGGTCCGTGTGTGATCGTATAAGCGACCGTACAAGACCGTAAGAGACCGTATGAGCTATATATAACCGTATTTGAAGTCCACTCCACGATTGAGCCTAACCGTGTCAAGATCGTATATAAATCGTATGGAATCGTTCGAGACCGTCCCCAAGTCCTACCTCCAACATCTGATTAACACCCGAATGTAACACGATAACGGCACGATACACACGAGTGCACACACGGGGTCATACCATCGTCATACGACCAAGTACGAATCATGCATGGCAGACACGGTATAGTTCGGGTGTACACGGTCTCATTCGGCCTCGCACGGTCTTTAACGGCCTCTACGTCATCACGAACTGTACAACTGCTGCCACCCTCAGCTGCTAGATCTACCCAGAGTACTTGCTGCATAACACTAGAATACATCCAAAGAAGAAGGTTCCCACGCACAGAAGGAATACAAGAAAGGCCATCCAGGCCCGCAGGCCACTTCAACCTGCTGACCGTGATAAGCCCGAGGATCCACCGGCACTACCTGAAGAGAGACCCGTTTCTCCCAGGGATTCAGGGTCGGATGTCAGCTCGGTGGGATCTCCATCAAAATGGGTCAATTTATATAAAAACATACTCGAATGTCTAATAATTCGAGCATAACTTAAACAAAAGTCGGAGGGACCCTATGTAAACCCTGTGAATGTCGAAAAAAAATCGAGTAAACGTAGTACTTAATCGTACTAGACCGACCTTTGAACCGTACAACAATCATATGTATTTGTATGCAAATCGTGTTCAAACCTTGCTTAACCGAGTACATCCGTGCTTTATTCGTACAAACTTATGCTACATTCGAGTCTAACTCGTATCAACTAATCTCCAAGCACAGTTGGAGCTAAATACTCGTACCAGTCAACCCGTGTATAACCGAGTATACCGTATGGGAACCGTTTTCTGTGTGAGACGGTCTGTAATGCAAATGTTAACTATTTACAATGCAATATGAAAAGATGTTGTGTATTAAAACAGCAATTTGCTAAACGGCCCATTATGCTCCAGCAATGCTTTTAATTCTACTTCCCAAAGGCTTTTTTTTAATTCTGGTGTCCTGTTATAGTTTCCAGAATTTTACTCATTGCCCAATTACTTGGCGGCGTGGCCGAGTGGTTAACGCGTCTGACTAGTAATCTAATGATTGCCGACCGTGCATTCAAACCCGTCAGGGGCCAGCCGTTGTTTCCTTGAGCAGGAAACTTTACATTCATTGCTTAGTACTGGTTGGTTCCAGGAACGAATAAGAGTTTAGAGAATTAGTGTTTCAATAAGCTTATTGCTTCCAACATAATGAACTTATTACTCGAAACTTATTTTGCATCTGTTGTTTTTGTAAATTAGTTTAGTTATAATGATTTGTATTTTGTATGGAAGTCAAATACTACTTTGTTTACATTTTGCTTCTTTTATGACAAATAATTTCACATTCAGTGCTACGTTTTCAGCTGATAAGTGTCTAATGTGTACTTCAAACAATTATATAAACGTTTTAAAGCTCATGTTTGCTTTTACTTAATATGGAAAAATGTATTCATTTATGCCTTTAGGATTACATGCATATAATACAATGTTATTATCTTATATTGTAGTTTAGTATATTGACTTGTATTTTATTGCTACTGAAAAAATGTATTGTTAGTTGTAATGAAATAAATTTATTTTCATAATATTTGTATTTGATGGCATAAAACATATTTGCATATGGAAGATTATGTTGGCATCGAATGTATCACTACAAAAAATGTTTTTGTAGTGATACAATGCCAAAAGTATGTTTTTGTTAGTATCAATGCCGCATATACTCTTGATGATCTTTCCTCTGCTACTTCTTCCACAACGGTCAACAATACTTTGACTATCACTGCGAGAACAACTATCATTTCTAATATTACCACTTTTACTATAAAAGACAGAAACTATATTACTAATAACTGAAGTAGCAAAAGATGCACTTTTCTAATATTACAACTTTTACTATAAAATAAAGAAACTATGTTACTAATAACCGAAGTAGCAATAAAAGATGCCTGTATACATGTATACTAGTTATTCCTATTCTGTATATTAGTGTCTAAACATATGATGTAAAATAAATATCTTCAATAAAATAGCTTTGAAAATGTTAGAAGAATTTTTTTTTGTGATTTTTTATAAATATACACTCATTTTTATCTTACAAAATATTAGCAGATTAGCTCTTTATAGAGGCGTTCTTTGACACTTGCTCCTCACCGCCCGCCTGGGGCTTTGGATTATTTCTTGTGAGGAAGATATCTAACTTAGCTCACAGAACGGCGTAGATCTACTGCCTTAAACAATGCGCGAATGAAAACCTGAGGTCTACCTCCACCAGTAAATTAAAGCTAGAAAGTCGACCTTTATTGTGTTTGTGTAATGTAAAACCAAACCAAAATCCGCCGCTTATCTAAATGTTTAATCTTCAATATGGAGATTTAAAGACTTATTTAATTCGAAAAAAGCAAACGTTATCTGTTAAAGCTACTTGTAAGTATTAACTGGGTAGTGTACATGTTTAAACTCAAGTGAAATAGGAACAATTCGGTGTAGTTGTTTGTCTACCATGTGATTTCGATATAAACAGTATGATCATATTATAATGAACTAAGAAATTCCTACCAAGAGTGAATGTGAATGATCAGAACAAAATAAAGCTGCAGTTGGAAAGAAAAATATAATATACCTTTACAGATATACAATATATAACTGTATACATAAAATCTGCGAATCATAAGTGTTTTACAAAAGCAAAGATTGTTGAAATCTTAATTTTAAGAAGATTAAAGAGTTGCAATACATTTTCCTGCAGTACATGTACTAATGTTATGCAATATACACACTGTATATATCCACTTTTCTTCTAGTTATCCATGTTTTTTGCTTTGTTTTATTGCATTATTATATTTGTTCAATCACTACGAATCTTTGTTAATATAACCATATCGAGCATTTTTCTTGTGAGGGAGAAGTCAGATACTTTTCCAGTAATTTTTACTGGTGCTAGCATAGACAATCTTTGTCGCACTCTTGACCTTCCTAGGAAACATGCTTTATCTCCCACATAAATGATTAGAACCCAGGGGCCGGTTTCTCAAAGCTCTGTTAAATTTAACTGCCTGTTAAATAAACAGTCCGTTAAAATAGCTAACCGGCTGTTACTTAACAGTCTGTTAAAAACTTGTTGCTCAAAACTTTTTGACGGGAGTGTTAATTGTCACCCCTGTTAAATTTTAACCAGCTGTTAACAGGTTCATTCAATCCCATAATTCCCCTTTCTGTAGTCTGCAAAATGGCGTCTGAATCGTCTGAATCCAAAGTCTTTAAAAAATGTAAAACGGTTAAGAGCAACAAATTTCAATGTGAATCTTGAGGAATTAGTAAAAGAAAATTTTGAAGTGCCTAACTCAAAATTTACAAATCAAGTCACAAATGCCCGAAAGTCCGAAATATGGAAAGAAATAAGTAACAAGATATCTGCTCTTGCATACGCGCAGAGATCAGAGCAGGCCTGTGTTGATAAATGGGCAAACTTGAAACAGAAGGCTAAAGAGGATCTTATGTAAGATAAACTAGAACGACGGTGGTGGGCCGTGTGTAATATACACCCAAATGAAAATTTGTTAGACTAATCTAGTCAATTTTATTAATTCATATTGCTTTATTAGAGTTCTACAAGGCAATGATACAATGTTTACTTATACATATGTCCATCAATTAATATTCATAAGGCATTATGACTCAAAGGGCATGACCAAGTTTGATCTCAGGGTCATTGTTAATGTAACTAATGTAACTTTTGTAGAAATCTACAAATTGATGCTATATGCAATATCAAAGTTCTAGGCTTAAGCTGATCAATGATTTAGCCAAAGTTTCACACATTAAGACTTATAAGTGTTTTCCAATATTATTCCAAAAAAGATTTTTTTCATTTATATGGAATTATGTGCCTTGAAATAACACAGTCCATTGTGGTGTCTTTCTTTTGTCAATGTATCCTGATTATCATTCTGCCTGCATCACATAATGTGAACCACAATTATCGGGTCACTAAATGATTACTCAATAATAAGAAACTACATTTGTCATATTTTTTTTAAATCTTATAATTAAAATCAGCTGAAAAATCGTTAATCTCTGTGGCCCACAGAAATGTCTAAGAATTAGTAGTAACTTTCAAGTTATGAAAAGATTAAATTGATTTGAATTGAATTGAGAAAATCTGTGTGCAAATGTATATTTTATGCATATTTGATTTTTTTTTTAAATTTTTGTCATTATCAATTCTTTGTCAATGACAGTGATAGTTATAGTCAATCTTTTTTAAATATATAGGTATTTTGTCTCAACTTGACAGTGTAACAATTAGCATAAGGCCACTTAAATATTGACCCAAACTAGATAAAAAGCTCAACATTAAAATGCTCTGGAAATTAAGAGAGAAAAAAGACCTATACATACACACATATTAAAACAAGAAGTTCAGGCAGTTTGTCGGCTTGCATTTCTGCATCAAACATTTCACTACCCCTTCCTTCCTACTCCATATCTTTCCTTTTCAGAAAGGCTAGAGACAATTTTCTATCAGAGACAAGCAACACCAGACCAGGACTACTGTAGTACAGTATGTTATAACAACAACAACTTTTATTTTGTAATGGTGAGATACAAGTTGTTTGTTCATACAAATTTACCATGCTCATGAGTAAAGCATGTCAGCAATGATTATAAGAATAATCATAATGGAGACCACCCCGCACTTGGGAACACTGGTTGAAGACCAATGGTGGTCTTAATTGAATTTTTTACTGTAATTAATATCAGTACTAATGTAATGTTATTAATCAATACTCAGATACTAGGGAAACTATTATACAGATTATAGCCATATAGATTTGTTCAATTAATGTAACCATACAATTAAAAAAATAAACACAATAATATTTTTTATTGTAAATATGCAAACAGCCGTTTATATAGGGCCATATACATGTCAGGGATCTTTATAACGAATTTATAATACAGCAAGCAAGTATATCTTTTTCATTTCCTGGAAATTAAACAAATTTAATTAATTTGATTCAATAGGACTCAATGGTACAACCAGTAGTTTCGTGCAGTTGAACAGGGTTATCATAATCATTTATTATTTTACATGTATGTATTTTGTTTTCAATGGAACAATCTAAAATTACATTTGACACTCATATTTGCAGGCTGTGACTTAAGTGCTGACTGTGAGATGCCAGGTGTTTAATAATGATGTGCAGTATTAATCCTGAAAAGACAGATTTTTAAATCTCAATACTTAACTATTCATCATTTTCCTTGAAAACCCAGTAATAAATAGTGTCACAAATAAAGCAATCAATTAATCTTATACAAAGCAATTCATAAACACTTGTGCACTGAAATAAGATTCTGTGTTGCTTTAGTATTTTTGAATATGCGTAAGCATAATTAATATTTGATACTGTTGAAACATAAAATTTGATATTATTAAAAAATATGAAATATAACTACATATAATCTTGCAATAAAACATATTATGAATTTTATTATTAAAGGTGAGCACAACCACAAGAAGTTCTAGGAAACACAGGCAGTGGACTTAAAACGGACATCGATTAAAGAAATAGTAATTTAAATAATCAGAAACATTTGAAACAAATTTATGATTGAAACACTTCCAGCAAAAATAATTTTATCCCAAAATAGTTGAAAATACACATGCATGTGTTAAACTCATAAAAAATCCGCCCCCAGAATTTCGCCCAGAATCTTGTTTGACAATTCCGCTCCGAAATTCCGCCCCAAGATTCCGCTTCAAAATTCCCCCCCCCCCATCTCATTTGTATATTTCGTCCAAATTCCGCCCATAATCCGTGCCATTTCCACCTGGAATACGGCCGAGATGCATGCCAAAAGAAAAAGGTTTAACACTTGTATATTCGGGGGAGAATTTAAATTTCTGGGCGGAATCTGTCTTTGAATTTCACCCAATTTCCGTCCAGAAAATTTCGTACAGGAATGCTCCCACTTTCCATTACAAAACGGAGGAAGAGCACTGAATGTCATGGTCAAATAAAGTTTATGTTCATTTTTATATTTGCCGTCTTTTCTAAATGGAAGTTACGCGCAAGCATGAATAAGTCACTACATAAGTTGATGACAAAAAATAATCCAATCCGGCCAAGACAATTAAAGCACATTTCAATAGTTTTACCTTCAATATCAAGGTCATTCATGGGCCAATGTCAAATTTTGTCTCCTTAAAGGATTATTCCTATATAGGTTGTTGTGACCAAGCACGTGAAAAGACATATATCAAGTTATATTAAATATCAAGCAGCATTATAACTTGATTATCAAAATCATTCAAAAGTCATGGTCAAGTTTGTCTGATCTACTCAATTAGTCGTATCTTAAGATTCAGTTTGAAGATTGTTC